AGTTCTGGGAACAAATTAGATTTTACAGTGTAAAGGCTCGCTTTTAGTTTGTCCAGCCACGTGTTCTGCATTTGGTTATACTCCTCAGCACTATCACTAATAATTTACAAACAATGTGAGTTTTTTTTGCACTGAAAACATAAAGCGTGGAAACTGAGAATTGTCATTCTTATTTTCAAATTTATTCTCATTTCAAATATTAATCCAGCAAAAAAATATTCTGAGCATTCTTCTCTGAGTGTTCAGTAAGACTAGAATCTGTATATCTGTATAGATGCCTGTACATGCACGCAAAACTTAGTTTTTACTTTCCCTGAACAACACAGCCTGCAGATGGCACAACCTGTATATCTCTGCCTTAACAGATGTACCCCTATACCGTCCACTGATGGACACCAGTGCCGTCAGAGATGTTGACTTTTAATCTGTCAACATCTGTGACAGGTTGAAAGACGTCTCTTCTCTTTAGCCCAAAGAGTTTCCACAATTTCTAAAAAAGAATTTCAGATTCTAATTGGTCAGAAAGCAGATGTTGTATTTTTCCTGGTTAGCTCACAGTATTTCTCAGAAGCGCTGCCAAGCCCATGCAGTGATTTCCACCACAGAACCATCTGTTTTTAATGCAGTACTACCCAGTAGTTGTAGTTAATGGTGGTTTCTCCAGATCCTGAAATTTTGTAGATATAACTTTGTAATTTTTTAAAGATATTTTCTTTTTTGCCCTTTTTTGCACTGCTCAGCTACATTATTTTCTTAAAAAAATAAATAAATCACAACCTGATCTCTAGCAGTCACTGATAAGGTTAAAAAATGACAGTATAGGAAAATGGGTCAGGGGGAACTCGTGCAAGCCAATTTGGGTCCCGCAGGTCATTTTGCTCCCAGTATACTCTAAATAAAATGAATTTTTAGTTAGAGTATGCTATCTACTTTTGCCCTTGTTATTGTCTTTTAAATGCAATCTTCTTTGACCAATAAATTCTATTTGTAATGTATAGACATGGACATTTATTTTCCTCACACTTACACACTTTCCACCGCAGGGGGAGCTGTATAACACAAAATAAAGCTGGGACCTTGAAACAATGTCTCCTGAAAGTCTCTTCAGATCAGCCTCAAAGAATATTGACACTTACCCAGAGGATGTCCTTGACGGTCTCCTCAGATAAAGCCTTGAAGGTGTCACTTACCTTTTTGGCTAAAAAAGCAAATTGACAGGTGCCCACTCAGGTCCTCACTCAGGGACTATGTGATCTCAGAACCTGGAAACATTTTCACCTGCAACCCAACCCCAAACAGCGCTGTGCTCTGTGGGATTGGATGAGTCACCTTATCCCCTAGTTTGTGTCCCATTACCTAGCAGTTGTAATGCTCACACCAGTGTAACGTGTCCAAGGTAGCAGGCGGGGCAAGCTGAGCTGGCCTGAAATTTAAATTAACCTCAGCAACATTTATGTGTGCATGGGGAACAGGTGTTGCATTACCGGCACCCTCAAAACCCGCCATGCACCCGCGCCTCTGATACGAACAAATGTACACACTCACATATATTAGCTGGAAGAGCTACTGAAACACATGTCTGCTACTAGTTTAATGCTTATCTCCCCCTGCAGTTAGGCTCCCTTTACGGTGGCTGGTTTCAAAGCCACCGTGGGAGTGTGTTATTGGAGGAAAGAGGGCAGGAGAGATCGCTATTTGTGTGTGTGTGTGTGTGTGTGTGTGTAGGTGTGTGTGTGTGTGTGAGTGACTGTGGCAGGAAATGTCACAGGGAGGTACACCATCTATTTTTCAGTGCAGCTGAAGCTCCTGCTCATCGTGGGAGGCTGTACCTGGGTTTCTTTAAGATTAAATCCAAAGAGATGATCGTTTTCTGTAACAAATTCCTGAAACTCAAGAGCAGGAAGCCTCTTCATCAGATATTGCTAACAGAAAAAGTTACTCAAGCACGTAACACCAACAACCACCTTTAAATTTGTATTTTTTTCCCCAGAAACTTTCAATCTTTTCTAAGCTTTTCTTAAAGAACCGCTTCATAACTTGGGTATGAAGCCATTTTTTTTTGTACCTCGCCCCTGACGTTAGCTTAGCATATCTTAGCTTAGCTTAGCATAGCATAGCCCCAGCATGACTGTCTAAAAATATATTTAGTAGCACATGTTCATTTAACCCTAGATCTTAGCCAAGAAATAATCTGGTACTTTCGCTTTTGTACAGGTAATTAATAAATCAATCGATATATAAAAGTGAAACTTGTGTTTTTTTGGAGTACACCCCAGTTTTTGATCTCAATCCCCCAGCAAGAAAGAGTATTTCCTAAATTGTCAGACTATTCCTTACAGGCACAGGGTTGCCTTTGGGAAAGTGAGTTTGAGAATGAGATGGAACTGGCTCAGAGTTTACTGCAACTTCTGTGGACCATCAATGAGCAGCCGAAGGACATTTGGAAAGTGCTTTTCCCAAGCAAGAGTAAGCTGGGCTGCAGAGATGGGGGCAGATGATCCCCTGTGGCATTCTTCCTCAATTTCTCCTCAAGAACTGGGTCATAGAAGATGAAGGGTGCAGTCCCAGTCTTTCTGCTCAAGTGTTTTATGGCCACCATAAATCATTCATTGGTCTTGCTCTGCTCTAGAGGCAATTTGTGTGTCCGACACAGGGAAGCCCTTGTTGACAAACCATTCCCCTCATCTTTGACATCAAATTTCATTATTCAGCACTGCACTGGGCTATTCTTACCTTTCTATACCAGGAAAAAGAAAAAAAACATGATTTCATCAAAGGAGATACAAATGCATGCTCCTATTTTCCATTCTCTGGTGAAATCGGAGATTCACTTCCCCGCCAGCTCTTTAAATGGACCCAGCAGGTCATGGCCTCATAAATGTTATTTTGAAAACCCATGCCAGTGACCGCATCAGACAATATGGTTCCCACAGGCACCATGGGAGCCTTTTAAAGGCTTGAGAGAATATGAAAAACAGCACAAAAGCAGACACTAGATAACCAGGTATCATAAAGGATTCCTCTGTGTAAAGGGATAAAAGCAATGTATGTTTGGGCTTTTCCGACCAGCTAAGAAAAAGGAAGCTTGGATATGAAATAACAAATAATTGCAAATTCTTACCTCCTGAAATCTTTTTTTTTCCTGAGAATGATATATGATTAGCACATTTTCCAGAGCTTCAATGTGTTTGTGATATCGTGTAGGCTATAATTGTCATGACTTTGCAAAGGTTGCTTGTTAAGAAGTAGATAAACCACCAAATCTCTCAAATCTATCCTCTTAAATCTTTAACAACCAGAAAAAGAAAAAGGCAAGTCTTTTGTAGAGCCAGTTGGCCGTCGGCTGTTCTCATCGATATGGTGCTCTGGTACTGTAGCTGCTATCAAACTCATCACAGAATAACTGAGTATTGCTTCATCGTGCATACATCTGCAGGGAGATATGAGAAGTGATGCATCTGCGAAAGAGTGACTAGGATTCCAAATGCTGTATATATTTTCAGCTCAGTTCAATATAAGAAACCCCCCAAAACAACACTTTACTTATATTATAGTGGTGAATACTGTAAGGACTTTAATGGGAAACAGGTGTACAGAGTTCCATACTGTAGTGTTGCCTTGTCCTACAGTTTACATTGCTGTTTGATGCTTCCTCCTCACTTGTCTGTTTGTGAGAGAGGTACATCAATGTGCATGCACCACTGGATAAATTCTATTTGTATCCCATGTTTGGAGTTCAAGAAAAAAGATGCCACAGCTTTTACTTCTTTAGCGCGCAGACTAAACCATCAACTCAGCCAACGAAAACTCCTAATGGGCTGCTGAAACATGAATTATTCATCTGGGCTAGGTTGCCTGGTTTTCTTGTGCAGGCACATGTTTTATTGCCCAACTTGGCTCCGTGACATCAGCTGGGCAGTACCTCAGTCCTATTTGTTGTGGGATACCATTTCCGTTCCCACGCAAAGCTCCATTATCAGTCCTAGACCACAGTACTAATGGTGGAAGATTCTTCTGACTTGCCCTGTCTGCTGGGCAGTGACTTGAGATACTCCAGATGTCGACGTGCGTCCTCCTGATTAGCCCTGACATAGTAGACAAGGTAGGAGATGACCATGGTGAACCAGCCAAACATAACAACCAGCATGGCCACATCTGTAGTCCTCTTCATCTCCACACAGAGGTCTATGTCTGGTGCCAACAGGAAGGCAAGTCCTTCAACTCCTATTTTCTCAGGTTCTGAAGTGTGGCACACAACGCCTGTCAGTGATGCAGGCTCCAGGTCCACACGAGGCATGGCCATCTGTAAATTGCAATTACAGTGCCACGGATTGTTTGTTAGGTTGGCGCGAGCTCGCAGCCCCTCAAAGGCATCAGGGGTCAAGTTTCCTAACTTGTTAGAAGAAAGGTCCAGGAACTGTAGCGAGGAGCCGAGGCCTCTGAACGCACCTGGTTCTAACTCACTTAGTTCATTGTGTGAAAGGTCTAATTCAACCAGTTGGGTTAAACCGGCAAAAGCATTTGTTGGAACTGTGGTGAGGAGGTTAAAATCCAGGTAGACACGCCGTGTGTCATTGGGGATGTCCTGCGGGATCTCTGTGAGCTGCAGGTTGCTGCAGCGCACCGTCTTTCCGCCACTCTCGCTTTCGGTGCAGTAGCAGTTCTTGGAGCAACTCGTGGCAGCATGATGAAAGCAGAAGGTCATCAGCACCAAACTATGCAGCAGCAAACACATGACCACTGAGTGGCGTAGCAGCCAGTCTGCAAGAAGGGACATTGTGGGATACGGTGGGCATGCTCCAGGGAGGACCACCTCAGCTGAGGGCTGAAGTCCACATCAACCTCCCCAGTAACTGTTGAACCTGTTGCATAAAAAAAACAACAGAAAGTGACACAGGCTGTGGGAAGTTTACCTTCTGAAAGAAAGAAATGAAGAACAGCTTGTACAGTGAAAAACTTTTCTTTTGTAAAACACTGATGATTGTAAATGTTCTTCAGAAGCGGTGATGTTATTTAAGGGAGCAACAGGAGCTTATCTAATTGCACTGTGGAGGCAACGGGAATACTGTACGCTCATTTCAGCGTGTTGCCGACTAGCAACAACTGGTGTTTCCAAGAAACTCAAAGGATCAAAGATTCCCTTCATCCCAGCACAATAAACAAGCTAAGAAAATACTTTGCTGTCACTGTGCCTCTTTTATAATTGACATCCCTGCAGTGCAGGGCTATTTCAGTACACATAGACGGGCATTAACATAGTAGTGTGACACTAAGAAAAATGTTCTAAACAAAACATAACTCCACCTACATTTTAACTTTTTTTTCTTTAACATCTTTTGTCACATTTCCAGATTTTTTATTTAACATGTTCTAGTTTTACTGGGAAGTGCAAGTAACACAGAGATAAGAGCTTGTCTTTGTGTCCTGTAAATGATAAAACTTTTATATTTTGTAGGTAAGTCTTTGAAAATTGCAGGTCAACCCACCTTAACACACTTCATTAATAGCTGATAAGGGCTTACTCCTATCCTGTTACTAATCCTCTTCAGGAAAAACTCCTTAAGTCAGTGTAACGTTAGCGCTGGCCACCCAATCCTTATGCTGAGGTAAATGCTAATGCCCCCAAAACAACTAAACAGACAATGTGATGATCTGCCTTGTTTGAAGAGAAAGAAGAATTCACCAGGCTGCTTAATTTCTCCAAAATGGTCAGGGACTGAGCAAGATCCACTTACCAAGATTAAAAATGAAATCGATCTCTAAGTACCTCAAAGTATCACATGACTGGGGGGGTTGGGGGTAGTGAGTAGTGGCACTGGTGGTGTGTACATGAGATGCAGCTAAAACCCTCAGTGCACACTAGTTAACAAATGAGTGTCAGACAACCTCAATAATGAGCCATTTGGGGAGACTGATGCAAAGCACAGATGAAGCTTGTGCTATTAAGCACTGACTGCTGCGGTTTGCCTCCTTCAGATATGCCATTTATCCGTCTTCATCAAGGCCAGGCAGAGCAACTTTCAAAGGATTTCCCTCTGCACTCTGTGGCAGCAGGGTGTACGAGAAAGTAAAACAGCACGACAGAAAAGCTTAAAACCCAAGGAAATTAAGGGTCTTGTACGGCTAGTGTTATGCTTCTGTAAAAGCAGTACTTTTCCCATCACATAGCATGCCAGCCTGGTATTTGGCTGAGAGATAATGGGGGAGCAGAAGTAAAAGGGCTGGTGACAGAGATGGGGAAAGCATGTGGGTGAGATGGGGAAATTGGACACACAAGCACAGGGTTGTGAGAGAAAGAATGATATCACAACGATTTAAGGAGAGGGGTAACATTGCAGTGACAGCACAGAGAACATTGCGTGACACTAATGAGAGATCGAGGAAAAGGGCAGATGTTAGTAAGCCAAAGAGGCAGCTGAAAAAGACAGCTGGAAGAGAAAGCATAGGCAGGAGAGGGAAAAGGCAAGGGACACTTGTAAATAAGATCAAGACAGTAGACATGGTGTAAGCTGGATGAGTAGCAGGGTGGGGCACGGGTCTGCAAAAATAAAAAAAATTAATAAAAATCTGTAATGCATTTGCAAAAGATTGCATGCATGCAAATGTTCGAGGAACAGTTAGTCTTCTTAAAGTAATGTGATAAATAACGATGCAGCTGGCACTGCAAATGCATTGCTTTTGCAGCCACAGGTCAATCTCTCACTTCCTAAATTCACTGCTGTCAGGCCTGCGCACACTCGGGGACCATTTTAATATGGAGCAATGACGTGGACACACACACCCAGACATCCGAGTCATTAAGATCTAATATATGTTAGTGTCTGTTGTGTGTAGTCTCACAACAGTAGCCTATTGCGGCAGCTGTGAACACCACGTGAATTTTAAATAGGGGAAAGTGGGGTGATTTGTGCCAGTGGGGAAGTTGTGCCACCCCCTGTTTCTAGGGAACCATAGAAGAAATTGGTCATGTGACCACACATTTTTGAACAGTCAGCCATTTTACTTATCCTGCAAAGAAGGGAACGACACTGCATGAGAATTAAGCACATTGAAGTTTAGAAAACAACAGTTTTTCGGTTTTCAAAGTAAAATTTCTAGGCTCAAGGTTTTTCAGTTGATTTGTCTGAGCAGTTATAGACAAGTTTGAAAACATTGCAAAAATGTTTTAATGCTTTGACAAGCTACACTATGCGTCCACACAGCTAGCATGATGTTTGTTCAAAACTGCTGGATGATGCATTTTTTCCAAAATAGTAGGGTTGGAGTGATTTGTGCCAAAGGGGCCTGGGTTAAGCTGTGTCACTGGCACAACTCACCCCCAATTATGAATATTTTAAACATATTATTTTATTGTAATTGTAGCTTTTATTTCTACACTTTACCACTAAAACTATACTACAATCTTCATTTCAGACCAACAATTAATACTAGACTATCATGCCAAGGAGTTATAATGAGGAGGACAGGCAGGGTTTCCACTCCTTTAGAGGACATGGACAGAGACCGAGATGGAGAAGGGGGAGTCCATTCGTCAGGTGGCAAGGAGGATGAACATATGCAGGATAACATTAAAACAATACTGTGAGAAGAGAAAGATAGATGGAAAAGAAATAAGGCCAGGAAATAAAAGAACTGGACTTGCCAATCAAGTCTTTGATGAGCATAGGAGAAAGAACTCGCAGAATATATAAAGGCACTAGAAGCAATGTTTTATGGTTTGAGTCCCATGAAATGCCTTGAACTGGCTTTTGAGTATGCACAAAGAATCATTTATAATCAGTTGCACAATTTACCCCAATGTATTCTTTCCAAAGGCACAACTTACCCCACACCCGGGGCATGCTGTGCCACTTTTTTTTTCCCCAGAAAGCTGTATTTCTTAAATACTATATTCCGATTCAAAGTGATTGTGCCCAAGGCTGCACCACATCCTAAAATATATGTACATATTTTATTTGAAAGCATTACTGTCATGGCCTCGCTTTAAAGTCATGTTAACTAAAAACTGGCATGATTCACCCCACTCTCCCCTGAGCTGACAGTTATTTGTGGCGGCCTGGGTAAACAGCAACAAGGAAAGGACAAATGAACATCCTCGATATAGCTTGTTTAACTTGGATTGGTCCTTTTAATGCAGGCCAAATATTATTTCACTGATTTCAGCTCATGAAGCCCTATTCTGGATACACTTTTCTGGCTCCGTGCAGCAAAACACTGCACTCGGTAGATTTCCATTTCCAAATAAAAATCTTTTTGACTTAGAGAGCAGTACAGTAAACAGTAATACTGCCGAGCAGCCAGCTCTTCTGATGCAATGGCTCTCACTCCGTGCTGGAGATTAGAAAACTGTGTCACTGACTCATCGGTGTATCCTCAAGATTGACTTGAATCTTCAAATCCTCAACATAAAGTTTTACAGCCTAGTGATGCCATTAGTTTTAAACTTTAATTTATGATAATGACAACACCAGCTGACATCACAGGAGCTAAAACGAGTGGCTTAAACCGGCTACCGGGTCCTGCAGAAATACCAGTTTTCCTCACGTACAAGCATCTGGTTAAAATGAACTGAAAGCAGATAAAGGTGATACCTCGTGGAACCGATACCTTTGTTAAGTTTGTCTTTCATCCTGTTTATAGTCAGCACCATTAAGCGCCTTTTCCCAACAGCAGCTACGTTTTTAAAATCTTTGTTTAAACGGCGATTTTTTTTTTGTTTGGGTTTTTTTTTTGGGGGGGGGAATTAGCTGCATAAATTATCACAAAGAACAAAAACACATGCATCGTGCCCAGTATCACAAACACAAACACTCACGTCTTTGCCGCTTTCCCTCTTCTTTCCATGGCGCGTTTCTAGGCAAGTGTCCAAAAATAATATCTTCCACCAGATCAGTGCGCTTTCCAACAAGCGGCTTGTTCGATATTTTGGTTCGCCTCCAGTAAGTCCTCCTGCAGCTCGTCAAACTTGCGGCGAAAGCCGCTCTGGAAACTACAACGCGCCAGTGGAAATGCCCCTTCACTCCAGGGCTCTCACTCAGAGCAGCCTTTTAGTTTCCACGCAACGAGAAAACTAGGCAACATTGCCCAAGCCTCAGCGAACTGGCAAGCAAACAGAGCGAGGGCATGACTTTCAGTGACGGCGGTGTCTCACTGACTTTGATCCAAATACATGGCAAAATTGATATTAATGCACAGTCTCAAGGCGCATTTACGCACTGGTCGGATATTTTCTCCCACTGCTTAGAGCTGAGTGCTGGACATATATACAGAGGAAAAGTCCATGTGATGGCATGACTTAATCCATTCATTCGTTTGAATCTACTAATTGCTGGGATTGACGTGAGTTCAGTGTGTATGCATCAGGTGCCAGGAAAGTAAAAGAGTGTCCCTCCCACACCATCACACACAAACGCAGAAATGAGCTCATGCACAATCCAGTGCACAAACATGGCTCGGTTGTGCTGGCAGCCTACACTGATCATGTTTGATCTGAAGTTTGTTGTTTCAAACATGCAGCCTGGCTGCCAGCGCTGTGGATCTGGAGCCGGTCTCCAGTCCCCTTTCCTGCCTGCTGCCACCCGATAAGGATGTCCAATCAAATCCACTATAAAAACAGACGTGCATGGCCACTAGCCTGGGAGAGCCTGCCAAGCAGCCAGTCATAAGGTATTAATGGAATTAAAATCAATAAAATGGGATACTTCACCCAAACTCCCTCCCTGGTGCTCTGGAATAACAGAAGGCATATGATTCACTTCTTTTTTTTCTTTCATTGATAGTGATGAATGTGTGCTAAGGAAGAGAGTCAAGCATAAACATAAAGAATTTCTGATTATTTGGGTTGAAATACAGTATTTTATGCATCTATGAACTGCTTTTTGTATAATCCTGGAGCAGTGAGAGATAAAGAATAAAATAAAATAAAAATCACTGTTTTCCAACATATCCTTTTCAAATTCCCATCCCAGTGCCTGTTTCAATTTAGAACGTGTAATTTCTTTGTCTGTCCAGACATATTACTGTAAGATTATTTTAGGGACTAGTAATTGTTTGTGTTATGAGATTCAGGCTGGATAAAAGCATCATAACACATCTGTGGGTCTCAGTCCTCATGAGAGATACATGAAACATGGCGTTCCGTGCTGCTGCTCCTTCTGCAGCCCTCAGGTTATGAGACTGCTCTTGTCAATTAGACAAGGATCAGATAGGTGGAAAAGCATATGACAGAGAAACAGCCGAAAATAGGATTACTTTCCTCATCGACAGAGGAAAGTGCACTGGCAGTCAGTCTTTCTCAGCTTAATCAGATTATTTTAAATGCTCCACGGTGGTTGGCAGCTAGATGGTGCATTAAAAACCATGCATTAGTCCTGACAGAGTACACTTCCAAGTGGATCAAAGTTTCCCTTTTTTTCTATGTAACTGGGGAGTTTTTAGTCTGCATTCATGATCAGCTTCAAGCGTCCTCTGTATTACCCCAGTACCTGTGCAGGTGGCATACCTACAAGCTAACATTAATCCATGAAGTCAAATTGCTGAGTGGGGATTTGGCTGAGAAAATGCTAGCACCAAACTTTTTACAATGTCATCTCAAAAGGGTGGGAATGTAATTTTTTTTTCTATGTACTCTGAGTTCCAGTGGAACAAAAGGACTCATATTAATGAGATCCCGCTCTTTCATTCTCATTTGGTCTGCTCACACAAAGTCTTACACATGCATACATACATATATAGTTAAGCGCACGGGAACACGCACACGCTGTCTCCTGCTCCCAGGTTACTCATCCTCAAGATCAAAGCCCTGTCTTGTCTTTGTGAATACAACACTAACCTTCTTTATTTATTTATTTCCTTGCCTGTCTTGAGCCTTTTAATCAAAAGCTGCGAGAACAGTGTATTAAAAGGATTTCTCGCCTGCTTAGGTCACCTCACCTCATCTTCTCTGCGAGGAGTCTTGTCTTTGAAGTCTGATATTATTGACATTAAACAATAGGGTGCCAATATGAAAGTATTGCAGATATTCATTTGAGCCTTCGCCACTCACAGAGCTACGGCTGCCAGAGCCATTTCAAAAGCTTCTAAGTGCAAACCTTGGTGTCTTAAATCTCACTAAAAGCAGGTTATGAATGGCTTTATGCACTAGCGGTATGCTGGAAAACGGTAATGTTGTTTCTGTACATAAATCTTGTTTTTGATATGCTCCAGGGCAGTGGCTCTCACTTTCAGATTTGTGGGTAGGAGACCCAAAAGTGGACCTACGTGGTCAAAAGATGTGTCAAGGATAGAAAACCTTTTTTCATAAACTGTACATGATCAAGTTTTTAGAATTAGTCAGTTGATCACAGTTGCTGACATGTTGATCCCATAGACTGTATACAAAAGATGGATTACCACTATGACATTAACCAAGTGACAGAGAATTACTGGAAATTACTGTCAATGTTGGTTTATGTTTTTTAAAAAAAAGATTTAAAACAACATTCTGAGCACCTAAAGCAGAATTCGCACAGATGTGTTTCCGGGTGAAGCACCCTCGCTTTTCATTTTCTTTGAATGGGGTGACATCAAGTGTTTTGATTCAACCTCTGGAGTTGCAGCACAGGTGTCAGCATTCGTGTCATGTCAGCGCAGCCATTTGCCAATGAAATTCATGCATCCAGTCTCTAGTCTGGAGCCTATCCCTGCCTACCATAGGGCAAGAGGTGGCATACACCCTGGAGAAGAAGCCAATATGATGCAGGGCTAACACAGAAAGACAGACAACCATGCACGCTTACATTCAAACGTACAGATATTTAGAATCACTACTTAACCTAACCCCACTAGCTGCGTAAAGAAGCCGGAGTACACGGGGAGAACCCTCGCAAACACTGAAAGAACATGCAAACTCCACACAGAAAGACCCGGAATTTCTGTGGAAATAAAATCATGCTATGCAGATATGCTGAGAGAGCAACAGGGTTTCATTGTGTAGCTCATTTCAGTTTTATTTCTGTTTCACTAAAGGCACTTGTATTGTAAGGTAACGACCCAACAATAATAGAGAGAAAGCCCCAGCGAACAACAAACCCCTGTGAGCAAGCACTTCGCGACAGCGGGAAGGAAAAACTCCCTTTTAACAGGAAGAAATCACCAACAGAACCAGGCTAAGGGAGGAGGAGCCATCTGCCATGACCAGTTGGGATGAGGGGAGGGAGACATAATAAAAGACTCACTGTAGAGCATTAAGTGTAACAATGTAGCATTTCATTGTTGATTGTTGCAAATAATCAACCTGTTGCTAACAGGCAGCTAAGTTGGCTACCTGCTGATTGAAGCTCTTTTTAGCTTGTCTTTTGAGGATTGGTTATTATTGCCATGACGATCACACGAGCAAATGTCAGGAACGCCCACATTTAAGAGCTGAAGCTTGTGAATCCTGCCTTGAAGTGTCTTCCCCTGCAGCAGCAGATATTTGAATTACATACAACACCTTCAGCTAAAGTGGCCACAACCTTATTTATTCAGATGTTATTTACTAAGCATCGTAACAGTGCAAACAGGTTGTACAGCATTATACATAAAAACTAACCTTCAAAGTTGACATGAAGAGGGAATTTAGTAATATGGACTTAAACCAATTTTTGTACGAGGCCGTGAACATACGAGGAATTTAGCGCTTACATCTTATTTTTATTTTTACTCCCAGTGGGTACAGCGTGACAATTCTTTAGCATCAGTAATGTTTTTGTATGTTTATCATTTTGGTTTAGTGCTTAATAAAAGTACATGTAGAAAAAAAGACTACCGGCTTGAGCGGCTCACCATACACTCAAAGCTTTACATGACAGAACTGCAGACAGAAACATTTAGGAAATAAGGTTGTTGAATATAATAAACTGTACTGTTTGGGAAAACACTTCAGGGTAAGATTACTTTTAACAAGTGTGATTAAATAACACTGCATCACCGATTGTTAAATTTTAAATGTTAAGTTACTATTGTTGCTCGCAGTTGCCTGCAAACACAGGATAGAGGTGGTCTGAGCTGCCCTTTCAAACTAATAATAATTCTTAGTCCCTCACTGTATTCACAATGACAGCCAGGGAGGGGTGTTCACCTTAAAGGTCATGTTGTGGACGTCCAGGGACACAGCTGGAAATGTGATGGTCAAAACATGACCCAGAAAGCAACCAGAGGAGAAAAAAAGTCTGTATATTAATGCTGTGAATGTTAGACGTTTGCTCTAAGATGTTATTTTCCTTCCTAAACACTGTTGTCTCTAATAAAAAGTGTTGCCTGAGCTACTGAGATTTTGTTTTCTACCATAAGCCATTCACTGGCGGTTGTTTTATCTGTCACACACCTTGAAATTGACTGAGCCAAAATATTCACAGTGGACCTGAAGCTGTAATTTTGTTTTCATTTTAGTTCATTGTCATCATTATTATTTTTTTGGAGTTCTCTCTTATCCTGCTACTCGCAGGGAAAAGCCTTTGCCAGGAAATAATTACACACAGTTTGAGAGGAATTTAATCAAATATAAGTAAAAATCCAACAGAACACACTGCTGTGACACTTACTCTTCATAAAGAGTGTTTGGTAGCACTTTATATAAGGGCCTGCTAAGGGCATAATTTCCAAAATCTGAAATTATGATGTAATTATATTCACCCACAAATACTTAGGGTAGCAATTCAAGTTTTTACAGAAAATAAGAAATGATTATACTGTAAGTAATTTTAAGATAGTTGTTATTACAGTTTTATAATGCAGCAGATAGTTTTATGTTCAATGGTGGACAACAAAATTGATACATATACCCTATATTTGATGAACCCCCTTTCTAATAAAATAAACAAGACTTTTTAATTGTTCACAGTATCAAATCACATCAGGATTCAGTTTTCTTTATATAGTGCCGAATCACAACAACTCAACTCAACAAGTCAACTCAAGCAACTTCACATTGTAACGTAACCATTCAATAATACAGAGAAAACCCAAACAATCATGACTCCCTATGAGCAAGCACTTGGCAAAAGTAGGAAGGAAAAATCCCTTTTAACAGGAAGAAATCTCCAGCAGAACCAGGCTCAGAGAGGCCATGAAGCTTCTCTGTGGTCTTCCTCTTTTCCTCCTGGTTTGCAGCTCCATATTTGGTATCCTTTGTCCAGTTTATCGACTATCCCTCCTCTGCACATGTTCAAACCATCTCACCTCTGCCGCTCTTATTTTCTCTCTAGTCTGTTCGACCTGAGCCGTCCCTCTGATTTACTCATTTCTAACCTGTCCATTCTGGTCACTACCAATCAAAATGATTCCAGTGCAGGGTCATTATTAACTCCAATATCTTTGGCTTATCTTTTGTGGTCTATGATAGATGCAAAGCCAAAATAAAGAAAATTATCTTTTTTTTCCCCCCACTCTTGGCTGTCACATCTTTCACAAATCCCAAAACGCTCTCCTGGACAAGCTCTGACAAGCTTGTCAAGTGCTCAGTTGGAGCAGCTCTTTACCTGTCACACTAATATCTGTAAAGGAGCCCTTTTCTTGTAAGACACTGTTCATCAAGTCCCATCAAGCATCTCCTTCAGACAGCTATCAACACATCTGTGACACTCCAAGTTTTGTTTTCTCCCACCGTCCCCAGCAGTCAAGCTTCAGAAAACACAGAGCCATCAATAAATAAACAGGAAGGCAGGTGGTAGCTACTGAGAGTGTCCATCTACTTTGCAGGGTGACTATTTTTGGATGCTAAGTACTTAGCATTCCTGTTTCAAACTGCCCACTTCTGATAGATAAGAGAAAGTCTGTGTGAGACTTACACAGTGTTTAAAAAAAAATCATTTGCCCTCATTAAAAGTAAAAAATGCAACAGAAATATATAAAATCAAAGGTTTATGTATTCTATTAATCATTAAAGAAAATGTTCTTGATATTAGATAGATAGATAGATAGATAGATAGATAGATAGATAGATAGATAGATAGATAGATAGATAGATAGATAGATAGATAGATAGATAGATGAAATAGTCCAGATATATAATATCTGGAATGTAATAAATAATAATTTTTGAGTTCCAAAAGACACAAAAATCCCTAGAAGGCCACAAATGTTTAATTTTGCATGTTGTTTGTATGCATTTAACAAATGTGATATGTTGATCTGATCAAAATTTCTGCACCCTTATTGTAAAGGTACCGCATAAACTGTCTGTTTTCTTTTTTAAAAACAGTCTTTTTTTAAAGCTAGCATGTCCAACCCTGTGTGCATTGAAAGTGTGAGGGCAGCAGGCACATTCTTTTAGATTTCTTAAAGGAGATAACTCAGTCTTTTTGGCTGAAAATACCAAGCAAAAAATATCAGATAAACAGTGCAAAAAGTGCTCGCTCCTTCATTCATGTGTGCAGCTGTGGGTGTATTAGTGTACTTGCAATCCACTACATCGACCGGACCGAGGCAGCTCTACTCAAGCTCCTCCACCCTATTATTACCATGCTAAGGTCAGATGAGTGGGCACCATAGCAGAGGAAGACAGATAAGAATGGTAGAACGGTTGGATAAATCAGGTTACTGCATTTCCATTGACTGATAGCCACAAGACAAGAAATATGAAGAGAGATGGTTGCTTAGAGCTGAATAAAACTGTGCTACTGAAGTAATGCTTTCTTAGCATCACATATGAATCTTTTTATCCCAGTAGAATAGAGGATTGGGGAAAAAGTGAAGGTCTATCTGATAAATGACTAAAAAACACAGTTTAGGGTTATCGTGCAGCTACATGGGAAGAGTCCAGGACAGAAAGGAACAATATAAAAGAAGAAATCTGATATTGAGCACTAGACAGATTTTATGCAGTTCCTGTATTTTATGCAGGTAAAAGAGAGACAAAGGACAGAAAGTGGCAGCGGTGGTGATAAATCAAGTGAAAGATCCAGTACACTCTAATGTAAAAAGAAAAAAGAAGTGAGCACCATGGTCCCAGAAAAACAGAACACTTTTCTTGCAAGGCAAGTTTT